ATGTGCAGCTAGGTCTGCAGTGTTGATGGCCTGGAGGTGGACGAGCGCTTGCTCGACGAGAGTATCGGTAGGCACGTCGGCACTGTATTTGCGGTCCTTATCGACAAATGGGCCGATGAAGTTGGCTGCCGCATCCACTGCATCTTCGACCGCTCCCATCGTGCTTAGCGGTGCCGCGAAGCTGGGCGCAAAGTGCTGAGCGCGGCTGTAGGTATGGTGGTGGTTGTCTTGCTGGAGCGTGTTGCTCACGATAGATGTGCGAGATCCACCACAAAGGCTCTATATAGTCCAACGTTGTTCTCTAGATCTCAAAGAATTTGCTATCTATTGTTACGTGAGATGATGCGATGGAAAATGGCAACGGGCAGGCGGAGAAGGATATTGCTGATTTGTCAGAGAAAGATGGGTCTCACGTGCTAGCGTCAATTCGACGCGAGGCAGGCGCGATCTCTTGGCGCGAGGCGACGCGTCTTCGTCCTGCCCCTGCCGACATGAACCCAACAACAACCCCGACGTACCCATCGCCACACGACGTCCATCTCTGTTCAAACGCTACAACTTCTCATCGCGTCTCGATTGGATCCTGAGCCATGTAAGCGTCACCAACATCGTCTGACCATGTCAATCGCGGCGGGACTGTCGCGCAACGCTCCCTTTGGACACAACTTCTTCTCTCGCTTGCTTGCAAGCACCCCACAAGTCACTTCCCCCACAGTTACCGATGTCTGTCTTCCATTTGGAATGCGGTTCGTCCGCACCTCACGCACTTGCGCAGTCATCACACGCCCGAGCCTCTCAGCATGGTCTCAATGGGTCGTTCGCATGTTGTCTGTGCGCCTTGGTGGAAACACCGGGGTTGTGTGTGAGGAGGGCAGGCTCGGATCTTAACCCTAATCATCTTCCGGTATTCGATGTGCTTGTATCACAACGGATAGTATCGCGGTCATGTCGCCGACCTTCCGACTAGCCCCTGCATATTGGTCTGCTCGCGTGGACCTACTTGCTCGGTGTGCAAAAGGAAGACTCGAGGTACGGGAGCGGGAGCTCAAATTGGGATGACATGTGCCTGTCGGGGTATTAAAGTTCTCGCACGAGGACCACGTCGGCATCTCATCTGTACAACAGACTCTGGTCACGAAAGATAGCTTCACGACGAATGCGACGAGGCGAAGAGGAGAGCTCTGAAGTCAGATGCCGGTCGCCTCACTAGAGGATCGACTTTGGGTTTCATCATCGCGCCTAAATCACAGTCCCCTCGATTCCGAGAGCCATACAGGAGCTGCAATACCTGATGCCAACTATCACCATGTTACCAGCAGACGTCATGCCTACAGCAACGGGACAGAAGAAGAGCGCGGCCTTGACATTGATCAAGCCAGACATACAGACACATCAACTTGTTCGGCTTCGGCTGGCGTGAGATCCACTCGTCGGAAAGGCGAAAGCCTAGCGAGGTCTCGATACGTCGCAGGTTGGTGTTGTCAACTACGGCGGGCCGTCACGCTCCGGATCTGATGTCCTGACGTTTGACACACGGAAAGTCTGCTGTGTCTACATGTGTTGGATCAAGTACGTGGCGTTTGTACTGCATGGCAATCTGTTCGAGCCGGACTTATGTATGGCGACGAAGTACCCGTGCATCTCGCCCACAGGAACGAAAGTCCCCATCAGATCTCCAACCTCTTCCTTCATCTACTACGTTACGAAGCCGGTGTCACAGTATTACCACTCGACACCAGTCACTCTAGGGTGATATCTGACCAGTCGCGTTAGTCGCCAACACGTATGTTCAGCATACGTATGAATCGGCGAGCGTCTACCCATCCGATCGAGCAGTTCTATTTCTGTTGCGATCGTCAATGCGGCTTTTGAGGATGTCCTTTGTCCGTAACATCATGCCCTTCGTTTCTCAAGAGAGCGGAGCGGAAACAAAGACTAGTCTCAGGAAGTCTTGTCACTACGCACAGAGAGAAGCATCTTGGCTTAACAACCCATGATGATTGTGTCCATTGGTGAGTGTTGCGTGTCTGTTGTGCCAAGCTGACTAGGATCCTGTTGTTTACGCAAGCTGGAGCACGGAGACGATGGTCTTGCAGCAATGGGAAGAGATGGTAGTGTTGGAGTTGCGACGGCGCCTTCTATGGAGACATGATCGCATTGACAGGACCTACAATCTCGGGGTCATTGGTTTGCATTCTTTAGCTTGGCCATACAACAAGAGAGCTAAGCATGAGAGTCTGGAACCCGCCGACAGCATATTGGTGGACAGTGAAAGCCATAACGCAGTGCTTTCCGAACCAGAGAATGGAGATGGGACCTCTCAAGAGTGAGGCACAAGGTCTAGACCTGTCTGTCAACATTTCCTGCGACAAGTTCCTGCAGGCTCTTCATTCTTCCATCCAAATATTCTTCGCGGTCATATCACCACCTGTCTTCGCTACGGTCTCTTGGCTTATGCCCTGGATGCATTACTACGTGTTCACCGACGTCGGTCTTGGAGATGCGATTGGTGTGAAAATGGGGGAGCGTGGCATGGCGTCATCGTGGGTGGTTCAACGGCCGTCCTTCGGGATGGTCAACTCTTTTTTCGATAAGTCTTCTGTCTTGGACGGCTAATACTACGCTAATTAATGCAGGTACCGAAATCGGCTCTGGGCTACTCTAATGTTCGTGTTGGGGCTTGCAGCTGCAGCGGGTGCACCCCTCAGGTGTGTCAGCCCTTGGCCAACCGAGCTCGTACCCATTCAGCCTATACAGACAAGCTACAAAAACGAGTCACCAAGACCGCCACATTCCTCACGCGACCCTCCTTACTCCAAATATTGTTTAGCAATATCTCTGGACTCACAGATCAGACCCCAAATTATCGATCACGAGCTACCAAGCGTTGTCATTCTCGTCAGTCGGGGCATATGGTTGGAGCAACAATCCATACTCTATTGCTTGGCTCGAAGCCTCTTCCACAGGATGAAGGAGGAGGTGAAGTCTCGGTACTCACCGTTGCTAGTATGCACCAATAGGGAACCGGTTGGGTACGAAGCTGGGGAGAGATTACCAGGGAATGATTCGGCGACAGCATGCAATACCATGCACTGAAGGTAGCACAATACAAACCTTGTTTTCAAATGCCAGACCACCTGTGAGTAAGCGACGCTACATGCTATTTTGAGAAGACATTGGCATAGCCGTCTTGACAATGATCGACTCCTATACGGCCTGCGCTCGTTCATACGACAAAAGCGACGTATGGTTAGTGCTCGACGGTGATTAAACGCACATGTATCACTCCACATGCATCCTTTTACACCATGCTCGAGCCATCGCGAACCACGTCATTGACAGCTATAAGCTTCTAACGCTGAGTATAAATCGGGATGCGACTCGCAACAACTTCAACGCCATTGCTTCACCGTCTTCAATCCTGAGTTCAAGATGTGGGGCTTTTTTGTTCAACTTGTTCTCGCGTTCACTTTGCCAGCTTTGGCCCGCGGCGATACCTGTTCATCAGTCGCTTCTCTCGGTTACATCACCGTCACATACCCCCTCAACCTGGCCTACATTGAAGAACAAGCCCAGTATTGGTCTACTTCGTGCTCTGCTCTTCTCCCGTCCTGCATCATCTTCCCAAGGACGGTGGAAGAAGTCTCGACCGTAGTGCAAATTCTCGCCAACACCACTGAACGCTTCGCCATCAAATCTGGTGGCCACAATCCCAACAATGGATGGAGTAGCGTAGCCGGGGGCCCACTCATTGCCATGGAGCATTTTGATCAAGCCGATCTCGACCGCAGCACAGGTATCGTCGACGTAGGTCCTGGTAACCGGCTTGATGGCATTGCTGCTAAGCTCCAAGGCACGAGCTGGACGTTTGTCGGCGGGCGCATTGGCAACACTGGAGTCGGCGGACTAGTGCTGGGTGGAGGGCTCAGCTATATGTCGACGCAGTACGGATGGGCTGCGTCAAGTGTCCTCGAGTACGAAATTGTCTTCGCCAACGGCACTATCGGCCACATCCGGAACGACAATCACCCCGACCTATTCGTCGCGCTCAAGGGAGGTGGTAACAACTTTGGCGTCATAACAAACTATAAGTTGCAGGCTCACCGACAAGGCGACATCTGGGGCGGCAACCTGGTGTTTCTTCGCACGCCGAGCAAGGACAAGCAGCTACTTCAAGCAGTTCGTGACTGGACAGAGTACAACGAGGATGAGAAGGCTGCAGTCATTGTCACGGCTGAGCGAGCGAATCTTAACGTAGTCGACTCTTGGATCATCTTCTTGTTCTATGATGGTCCGACGCCCCCAGCCGGGCTTTTCGACAATTTCACCGATGTCAATCCCTTGCTTGATACCACCCGAACACGCACCTACGCCGATCTCATGGCCCTAAGCAACTGGGTTGTAATCAAAGGCAACGTTGTGGATATCGCCACAGAAACAATACCCTTACCTTCCCGCGCCAATGCTGTCGAGGTTATGGAAGGTCTTCACAAGCATTGGCGCGACATCTCTGACACCACACTACTCGTACCTGGAATCGTAGCATCTATCGCATGGCAGCCATTCCCAAAGAAGATTGCGCAAAAGGCTCGGGAACTAAGTCCTGATCTGATCGATGCTGATGCAGATGTCGATCGCGTTATCATTGAGATGAATTATGCTTTCACACCGCAGTCATTGTATGAGAAGATGGCTGACACGATGGAAGCGACTTATTCTGGCGTGAGAAACAGGGTCCTGGCATGGCAAGCAGAGGGTAAGCTACCGGAAGCGTATTTGCCAATCTTCATGAACTATGGGTTCTTTCGGCAGGATTACTTTGGGAGATTGAGGCCTGAGAGCCGGGCGTTGGCGAAGAGGGTTGCAGATGCAGTAGATCCGGCAGGTCTGTTTAGGTCACGCACTGGGGGCTGGAAGCCATGAGCTTGGAATGATGATGATTGGCTCGAGCTTTTCGCTCAACATTGGGCGAGGTAATTCCTCCGAGAGCTGCTGCTTCATCACAGATCCGCTGGGGGTCGCGTGATCTTTGTTAGATGATCCCCATTCAACTCTTTCATGATCTTGCCTAGACCTTCGTGACTGTAGTCCTTCTCATTCCACATGTCCTGCCTGGCGTTAGCAACAACCCTTCGAGCTCAATGAGAGGTTGCGCAGACGTGCGCTAATGGATGGTTTTCGCGTACCTTGTGATACCGCACCTTGCCCTCTTGATCGAGCGTCAGTGTAATCAAGCTGTTGACCTTCTTCGCAATCGGCATAGGTTTTGGAGTGTACTCCTGCTGCAACTTGAAGATGATCTCATCAGGCTTGGAGGAAATAACCTCCGTCTTGATCGTCCGACTGCTCTTCATGAGTTTCGGGATACCTGTCAGGTGTTAGCAAAGCGTACCTCCTCATCACCGTTTAAGCTTAGGCATTACTCACCATACCACTGCCCAGCAATCTTATACCTCGTATCGCAATAGCTCCATGGGTCGTCGTATACTGCCTCTTTGCCATACACCATCATGTCTTCTTCGCTAGCGCTGCCAGAGTATAAGTTGCAGATAGACTGCACTATTCTCTCCCTCGCAGGCTCCAAATTCATCGAATTTTCAGGATGTGGCTCATAGTCGACTCCCGAAGAGCTGTTTTGCGACTCATCGGCGTTGTGGGTCAATGCGACCGGGTCGGGTCGCTTCTCGAAGTCGTTCTCGAGGCGTGCCGCGAGTGTGTCCTTTCCGGACTTGCCCGTCATTGGAAGTGTCATGTTCTTAGCTGAAAAGAAGAAGGTGAAGTCGTAGGGATTGTAAGGCTATTTCAAGAACCTCTGCTTCTCATGAACAATGTGTCTTGACGTCATGGCTAGCTACTTTGGGGTGTGGCTGCCCGATGCGAGACGTCACGAGCCTGTCGATGAAGCCGTGCCACGATACGAACTTAAGCAATCACCGTAAGAGCTTGCCAGAGAGGTATTGAACACTGTGAAGAAAGACCGGGCCAATGCCATTGATCAAATGCATGTGAGAGTTGCCAGAGGTACGCAAAATATATCTTCAGCTCGTTTCACATGAGATTCGCAATGCCTGATATGAGCCTCCTATCGTTCACAACTATCGTCATGTCCCGAGAACGTTCTTGATATGACCCTTTCGTGTTGAATCTCTCGTGTTGCTGTCCGAAACATTCAAAATGTGGGTAGCATCTTACAAGCTGGAAGAATGAGTCGATGTCGTAGGCGATGCTACGTGAACCTCTGGGGCTTGTCTTGTAATACTATCTGCACTGCATTTTGCTTAGAGGACAGTGAAAGTTCAGTACTACGAGAATGGCCCTAACCTTCGATATGAATAGGCCATTTCTCTACAGCTTCATAGAGCATCAGCAGACTGCCCATAAGATATACTGCGGGTGCCCATACCAGAGCCAGTGTACTCTGATACTCGCACCAACCTGTGCTACAATATCCCAGACAAGCACTCCAGATCCAACCTATGCTACCCACCAGATTTGTCATTCCAACCCACCACCCGGTCATGCGCGGCGCGGGCTTCCACCACTGGCGCTGCACTTCAAACAGGTATAGTATCGAAGCGACCAGGAAGCAGATAGCCCCAAGCAGGAAAGAAGGATAGTATAGCCCATAGAGCACACCTTGCGGGAGGTTCTTGTATACACCTGGTAAGGTGAGGAGATTCGTGACCCAGTAAATGGCTGTACCAATGAAGAGTATGAGATTTGCGTTGAAGCCGATTTCCCGACGGTAGTGAACGCGAACATCCTGCCATGTGGGCCACCATTTCCAGGCTTGCTCAGGTCCTGACTGAGGTCGCGCTTCCACCTTGAACGTCTTGGTATGCATTATTCGATGTTTCATGCGGTCGGGGTTGTGGATATGCGTGCAGTTTCGACGGTCGGGTTGGAAGCCGGAGGGGTTCTCGGTCGCTTTCTCTTCGTCCGGAGACGCGAGTTCGATGTTCTCGTTGTCGGAGTTCAAGCTTTCCTTGAGCGCCCAGCCAAAGCAGTCGCTCTGGTTGGCGTTCACCGCTTCGACTACAAGGAGCATGCCGCCCAGCAGAAACAACATTCCACGGAAGAAGGATATCGCGCCGCTGACGGTGCTCGGGTCGGCGGCGAATCGCGTATCTGGATATGCGACTGGAAGCCATTGAAGGACGCCAGACGTGATGGAGCATATCGAGCCGACAGTAAAGACGACGCCAACCCACCACGAAACGTCCCACCAGGCTATGACTGTGACCATGCGCACAAGCGCTCGAAGAAGGCGCGTAGTACGTTCGGTGCGTGAGGGTGCTTGACCGTGACTGAGGAGAAGTATGTGCCGGCCTGGAGAAGAGACTCGTCAGTACAATCTTCGGCTTATATGTAACATAGCTGTGTACGCACCCTTTCGATTCTCGCGACTCCACCACTCCCATTCCGTTCCGCTCGCGTGTCCATCTTCGTTGTTGACGGCATAACGCCGTGAATTGGCATTTTGGAAGTTCAAGACCTTGTGCGAGCTACCGTGAACGTAGTCTAGCTGCTGCGACGAGTCCTGGAGACAGTCTTTGCCATTGCTGGGGGCGGACATGGCTGGAGAATTGCGCGAGAGGAGAAGGCCACGATCGGGCTATCCCTGTGTGAAGCTCCATGTCTTTCAAGGTTTGTCGTCGCCATAGCTTCTTGCATCATCTTGGGCCCCCGTGAAACGCGTCCTGAAAGCGGTAAATCAACCCATCGACGACAAGATGATGATAGGTGATGTCATGGTGTGGAGAGTTTCGCGTCGATCTTGGCAGGGAAGCTGTCGGCTAGCGTCTGGGGTTTCCACATGTCGCGGGCCCAGTCCCGACTCTCAAGTTCATGACACGACGCAATCGCGATCACTCAACATCAAAAAAACGAGCGCAAAGGTTCAGGCGACACCCTCTTCCATTTTTGAGGAGTTCTTTCGGTCTGGAGAGTCTTCTGTGACCCGGTGCGCGATTGGAATCGCACCTGGGCACGTATGAGCATGTTTCGTGAAACAAACCAAGCTACCGGAGAACACCCATATCAGTAATCGGTCTTACATTCCTGGGAGACAGCGTGCACGAATAAAAGTAATGTCAAGGAGCCGAGTCAGAGGGCTCGGGATAGTGCGATGCGATGGTTCCTGCATCTTACGCTCATGCCCCGTCCTGCATTTGTCGCTCATCAATCTCAAGGTCGTCGAGCAACATCCGCGGACCATGCAGTACTCGCACTATTTGCAGCGTACAGATTGCGTTCGATGTTTCGAACAATACACGCGCTCTGGCATTCTCGAGGAAGTCCGGCAAGTTAATTCTCCCCATGTTGGAAAAGCACTCGTAGACAGGTCTCCCATGTTCATCGCGTCTACATGAAGATGCCACGCGTACGACAACTCTTGGCTTTTGTGTATAGTCCGCTAATACATCCCGTTGATGAGATTCGCGCACTGAAGCCGACGAGAACTAACAATGGCTTCATTTCGGGCGCATGGCAGGACGGATGCTTCGGCGCCGAAGCGTAATCATGCAAATAGCTTCACACCAATGGTTTGGACAACGCGGAAGGCGATGGGATAGCTGATTACTGACCAAACATGAGGTAGAAGACATGCGCTGTTTTTCTGGATATAAAGCGAGTGCCCTGATACCAATGCTCCTTACCGCGTTCATTATACACAGACATTCACCACTCACCATGCTTCGCCGCCAGTCTGCCAGGCCTAGTGGTCTACTCGCTCTCATTTCGAACATCGTTCTTTTTGGATCCCTTCTACCAGTTGCTGCAGCCCAGGATGACGCCACCAAACTCAGAGACTGCTTGAGTAGCTCGAGCATCTTGGCCTCCTTAACGACCTTCCCTGATGCTACGAACTGGGAGACCATTACCTCCCCATGGGCTTTGCGGTTCAACCCGGAACCAGCCGCTGTTGTCGTTCCGCGCAACGAAGACGAAATTGCTGCGGCATTGGTATGCGCCGTAGATGCGGGTGTCAAGGTCTCCCCGCTAAACGGGGGACATTCCTACGGAGCTTATGGGCTGGGTGGTGTGGATGGAGCACTTGTGATCAACATGGAGCGTTTGACGGAGACTACATTCGACGAGGCGACTGGTCTGTTTACGTAAGTGTCCGCGCGATCAACATCAACTTACTATGTGCTGATAGTCATAGCTACGGTGGTGGAAGCCGAGTTGGGCCAGCTGTAACATGGCTTTGGGAGAACCACGGGCGTCACTTCCCCCACGTCCGAGCTAATTGGGTAGGCCTTTCTGGGTCTTCCATCGGTGGCGGCTTTGGAACCACCAGTCGTTTTCTCGGAATTCCTATGGATAATCTCGACAGCGTCAAGGTGATACTATACAACGGCACAGTGGTCACTGCTTCACGCAAGGAAAACCCAGATCTGTTCTTCGTTGTTCAAGGTGCAGGCTCTTCTTACGGCATCATCCTGTCTTTGACTACTCGCACTTGGAAGCCGGAGTTCGACATTGTCACAAATTTCACGATCTCACTTGGTGCTGTCGACCTTGACACAGGCGCTCAAGCCCTCATCGATATCCAGGACTGGGCCATGACTAAAGCACCCGATACCTTTGCTCTACGATGGCAATTGGCCGGCGAATGGAACGGTAGTGGATACTTCTACGGTAACCCTGACGAGTTTGATGCCCTATTTGCTGGTCTCGTAGAACGTCTCCCAAACACCACCACGACCACCGTGCGAACGGCAGATTTCTGGGCTATGGAGAACTTTGCCGTTCCACAACTCAACGGAACCACCGACGCCTTCCCTCCGCGCAGCATGTACCTACAAGCACTGGTTCTGCGCAAAGATCAGCCTTTTACCTTCGAGTCCGCCAAAGCGCTCTACCAGTACACAACACTCGCCTTCAACCGCACTGACCTGACTGAGTTTGGCTTCTTGGACTTATGGGGTGGCGTGTCTAGGGATGTTGACGACTCAAAGCAGGCGATGGCTTACTCCAACAACCAGTGGCTCATCCGCTGGGAAGGACGTCTTGCTAACGGTCTAACCCAATGGCCTGCTGACGGCATTGAGTACATGCAAGCTGGTTTCCGACCTTTCCAGGATCAGCTGAAGAAGGAGGGTGTACCACTAAGGGGGTTTGTGAACTACAGAGATACGGAGCTTTCCGTTGAGGAATGGAGCGTGAGGCTATACGGAGACAACTTTGAGAAGATGAAGAGGATCAAGTCAACCCTAGATCCACAGGGTGTCTTCACGACGCATGCGCAGAGTATTCCATCGTCCTGAGATATCAGCAAAGGTGTTATCGAGAGTAACCTCTGTTGAGTGGTTCATCAGACGCTAAGGCCTGTCACGTCGGTATTCGGCATTTGGATGTGTACAGGCAGTTGACTGTCAATGAAGTCAAGTCCAGGTCATTCGCTCTTGAAAGCAGTTTGTATATATCAAGTAAGTGGTAGTGCAACATTCTCTTAACAACTGTCGATGCACCGAACCGGCCATTCTGATTCATTAAATCTATATTATGTACAAGAAAATCCGCTGTCTCGAAGATCTAACATAGCGGACCATCAACAAGCATTGATTGTCTAACAAGTCAATTGGAAGAACGGCGTGTTGTTCTGGAGGGGCGTAATAGCGAAAGACAGATCGGTCTGAGCAGCGTTGGCATCTTTCAATGTGTACCAGAACGTGGTACGGCTGCCAAAGAGCGAGCAGCCAACTTCGTCCCAGTAACGCTTGGAGTTCTCAAGGGAGGCAACAGCGGAGCCAGAGTTAGGGCCAACTATATTTGCGTTAGTATGATAAGCTTTGGAGAGTACTAAAGCAAAACTTACTTCGTGGCCATCCGGTCTCGGTGACCCAAACAGGCTTTCCATCAGATACGCTCTCAGTCTGACCAAGACCCGCGAAGAAGTTCTCACGTGCCAGGTCGATCGAGTTCGGCCTAGTGGTCTCGAAGTATGGGAATGAGTTGTGTCCAAGCCAGTTCACGCTGCGAGCAACACCGCGGTTCTCAGGCAGAACCCAGGCAGTGAACGTGTCTACATGGCCGATAGGCTTGCCCTCGAGCGCGGTGCCACGGATCCAGTCGCGCATCCAACCGATGTAACCCTCGATCTCAGCACCAGTAGCACCAGCGCCTGCGTTGTTCTGTACACCCTGCGGGCTGCTGCGGTACAAGTCCTCAGACCCTACGCTGATGCCAATAATCTTGTCTGTAAAAGCGGTTCCAAGTTCCCTGGCGCCACGAATCAAGGCGTTGAGTTCGTTCTCGTATGCCGCACGTCCGGCACTGGCCCAAAGACCGACCAGAAGTTGGGTGTCGGTGTCGATGGCTGCTTGGAAGGCAGAGATGGGATCGGCCGCGGTACCGCATTGAACTGAAGTGTAAAGACGTGCTGTGTTGAAGCCCGAAGCTCCAGGCAGGCTCTTCGCCTCATTGAAGAAGCGAACGAAGTCGTTGTAGCCGCGGCATGATCCGTCTGCGTTGGTGGCACCGTAGTTGAAGCCTTTGCTCTGGGCGACAGCGGTGGTCGCAAGGGCGAGGATAGAAGCAGCTTTGGCCCACATATTGAGAATTAAGAATAGGGTATTAAGTCTAGTAAAACGAAGGGATACAGATGTAGAAGCCAGGGATGGAGCAACCTTTTATCTGTCTGTAGAGCTGAAGTTTAAAATAGAACGTTTGCCCCTGCGCATCATCGTTGGCTGCATGCCAATCCAGATGACGTGGATGAGGCTCGTACTTTTCTTTGCCAAGCGTTGTTGAATGGCGATCTGCCGAGCGCCATGCTGGGCGAAAAGCCCTTTCGAGAAGCTCCCTATAGACGGTTGCGCGAGGCCCCGTCTGCACAAGCAAACAAATGATTGTTTGCAACACGAGCTGCTGTGCGTTTGCGCCAAAGAAGTTGGGCAAAGCTGGGGAAAGTCGCCAGGACGACAGCTAGTTCTCGTGATGATGGAGCCCTCGGAGGCGACCGTCGACATGTGCCATGCGCATTAGCACGAATACGATCGATATCCCGGGCAGCCGAATCGGATTTGCGCTGGTCTCGAACGCGCGGTGTGGTGAGGATGCGGTCAAGTCGCAGCTGCCCAGACGGAAGATGTGGGGTAGGGAATCATAGCGGCGCGAGGGTGCGGACCAAGCTGCATTGCGCACAATTTCCCGCCGGGACAGCCTCGCTGCCCTTGGCCCTTCGACATTCTTTACTAGTCGTGGCACCAACGAATTATCGCTGTGCGACGAAGTTTGCCAACTGTTATTCACGCAGTCTCGGAACAAAGGCTGCGGGACAGAACTTGGATCATACCTAGGTATACGGGAACGCGCACCTGGGGCGGTGCGGTGGCTCACCGGTTGTCTAGCGAGGCATGGACCTTACTGCGCCTGAGCATTCACGCACGGTGCGACAGATGTCGTGCTGCTGGTCTAGAGCCTTCATTCCTTTCCAAGGGATCATGAGCAAAAGATGAACGTTTTGTCGTCCTCCATAGGTAAGCTAACGTCCATGGTGTTCATGGACTGACGGCATCGAAATATATTGTTGATCGCGGCGGTACTGCCCAACCATGCCAGTCTCGCAGGGCGCTCCATGGGACGACGGTGACAACGACTGAAATGTTCGGTTACTGACAGTCAGTGTAGGAAAGCCAGAGCCTGCGCGCGTGTAAATGAAAACCCGGGCGAGCATCGAACAGGCACATCATAGCTGTGCAACCCTGCGGTCCTGTTTCGCATGGCATGGACTCGGCATAGATGTTCGCTTGTGCACAATTGCTCTCACTAATCTTGATGACAGCCTGTGACACATCAGCGATATAGAGACTCGATATATGTCCGCCAGCATACCTCGCGTCTGCATTGCTCACTTCACAACCTGGTTTCGCAACGACGAGACCTGTTTCCGAGTAGAACAAAGTGACATCCGATACTTCGCTCATTAATCGACGAACAGACGTTGCCAAAGATGCTGGAAGCTTCATGGAGATGAGTGGCACCCTGGGGCGTCGCTATCGCTGTCTTGCACCAAGGCGAGTCGGACCTTTCAAAATACTTGGGACTGCGTGCCCGTGAGAACTAGCGCCTTGTCTACGACGAAACAAGTTTCCCATGCGCATCGCTGACCCAGGGTGTCTTTTCTGCCGCAATGGCTATCTGCGTGGGGGGTTTTCTTGATTGGAGTGCATCTGTTTAGGCCATCGTGCCTGGCTTTCACACGCGAAACGAGACGCTACATCCACAGTCGACTACATTGGACTGCCTCTCACATGAAGCCAACATGAACTCAACAATCTACTAGGTTGACAGAAAATACATTCCTGTTCTGTCAGACGAGATTCTCTTCTTAGTGAATGAGAATTTGGATATTACTATCGTCTTCGAGCTGATAGCTACTACTGGTACCTCGCTAATTTAACACTGCGTTACTATCTACTGTGCTCTCCTGTACTGCGATGATGCGGCGGAGCTAACCCATTTGTGTCTTCTTGCACATGGTGTCATGCACAGGTATCGACTCGTTGGTAGTTAGATACTATTCGTAGCACCCGCGATGGAAGATCCCGTGGAGCGATCGCGTCTCTCGAGTTTACGAATCCCCGTTTTGCGCGTCTTGCCTTTGTCTGGAACCTTGCACACGATCCCGGGCGGTGCTGGATCAACCTGGAGGACTGGACAAGGCTGGCATTCGGGGGTCTCGTTCTCCCTGTCTTCCCTGTCTTCTTCATTTGCCTTGTGTCCTTTGGCTTCTTTGTAATCCTGGTCTTGATTGTCTTCCTCATCATCCTTGTTTTCCTGTTCATCTTCATCAACGAAATCGAAGTTCTGAAGAAGTGTTGAGATGTCGATGATCTCTTCAGCTCGCAAACAGTTGTTTTTGGGGTCGCTAACAGCTAGCGATACTGCTAGACTCATTGCATTCTTGATCTGAACCCCTGTCAGTATATGGTGAAAGTACATCTCAAAAGCCACTCACCTCGCGGCCGTTCAACCTTAACGCCGCCAGTTTGTTGAATCCTTGTTCGTCGATATCGACCTTGACTTTCCTGTTTTTGCGCGAGCTGTCGACGAAGGTCCTCCAGATCTTCTTTCGGGAGGTAGAATCATGGCGATGGTAGTGATGACAGAATTGAATTCGGCCTGCACTTCGTCAGCTTTTGGCTTGTCGCTGTGCACATCCAACTTACTTTGAAAGGCAGAATCAATATGCCGAGCACGGTTGGTGGTCAGAATCATGATACCAGTATAGTACTCAAGCTCTCGTAGAAATACCGAGATGATGGCGTTTCTTTCCAGGTCGTTCTCATTCCGCTTCGCAAGATAGACATCAGCCTCGTCCAGTAGAAGTACTGCACCCCATCTTGTGGCGAGCTCAAGAAACTTCCTCAAGGCGCGATTAATCTCACTGGCAACACTTCCAAGCGCACCACAAGACATGACGAATAGTGGTAACTTCGAGATCTCCGCCACCGCTTCTGCAGTCAATGTCTTACCCACACCAGGTGGACCCAGTAGAAGTCCGACCAAGCCCTTGCCTTTGCCCTTGATGATGTCGTCGAAACCAGACTCGTCATTTCCATGAGACTTGATAAGCCTTTCCAGTAGCTCCTTCTGGCGCGGTTTCATAACAAGTGATGCCCAGACGTGTGGGTCCCAACAAGGCTTCTGGACTCGAGAGACAGAGAAAGTGCCTGTTAGACGTTAGCCATCCAGCTCGGCAAATGAAGACATCTGTGATTCACCCCATGTAGAATCGCCAAGACTAAACCCGTATAATTTCCCCGAAAGCATGACTTTCAGTATGTCCGACATCTCATGTTTCTGGTAGAAAGTCCGACCTTGAGACACATGCTCGTCATCAGAGGACTCGTCGTTGACGTAATCAGATTCGTGAATCCTGCGAGACGACCTCCCGACTCTGGAATGTGATCTAGATCCAGCCGGAGGAGGAATGTGTAGAGCGCTGGACAGAGACGGCTCGCCATTGGTGTGGTCTTTTTCCTTTCTGTTCTTGGACATGACATAACCGAAGGCTAACTTTTGAAACTTTTCGGAAGGCTCAGATTGCATGGCTTCCTTAACGTCTGGAACCATCGTTGCTTCTGGTTCCATCTCGTCATATGTAGCGGCGTCGATAATCAAACGACCGTGAGTCTACACCCGTGATTAGGACTGGAAGGTCTTCAGTACCTAGGTAGGACGTAACATACTTTGAACTTCACAATTGAATCCCTTCCCATCCGCAGTCCAAATCCCGTGTGCTCCCTCAACTGGTGACCGGTGCCGTGGAAGCAGAGTTGGATCTCCCCTCGCTTCAGCAACTCAGCGTGAAGAGTTTTCCGATCAGCATGGAATTCTACTGGATACACTGGAAGCTCGTAGATGGGTAGAGCACCCTCGAATTGAGGGATCTGCAGTCTTTCTTTCACGATCCCAAGCCTCACGCCATCTGAATCCATATGATTAGCTGATATCTCCTGGAAGCGAGATCCACCCTCGCCCTGAGCCATCCTTGAGCTTTCGAGCCGGGAGATTCGATCATTTCCCAAGGCGTCTTTGTGGTAGATCAATGTATTGGGTGCAAGTATTGTCCATAAGTTGTGAAACATCATCTTCTTCTCCTTGAGAAGTTGTGTAACGTTGAGAATCAGATCTCCGTACTCCTCATCGATGAACTGAAGGGCGACATCTAGCTCTGCGATGCTTTCCAGCCGTGTTTCGTTGGTCTCATCGGTGTGTAGTGCTTCTCTCCGCTCGATAAGCTCGATGCGTGACCAGTACAATAGCTCTGGGAAAACCTAGAGAGAATGTTAGTATTTGGGTCAACGTGGCAGCTAAAGTGACAGACGCACCGTACTTGAGGTATCTCCAAGGAAGACTCCACGTGTGTCTCCGTGTATTCTCTTCAATTCTTCGAGGAGTAGTTTCCCTTTGATGTCGACTTTGGTTTCGACATAGACCATACGGTCCGAGTATATCCTGCGGACTTGGATTGCCACACGACTGTTTTTGTTTTTGGATGGCTTCTTGTGCCTTGCTGCCGACGGAACAAGAATGGTGTTACGAGAATTTCTAGAGCATTTGTTAGGCGGGCTAGAATATTGCGTTGTCTTCTTACTTGTCGTAACTACAGAGTGATTAGTAGAATCTTGAACATGCTCGCGTTTCACGTACATCTGATCTCTGTAAGTCAACTTTTTTTTGTTTTTCGTTGCATCGTTTTCGCCCATCTTAGTGCCTGGTTGCTCTGCCCCCACTTTTGAGCTCTCCGCGACGGTTACATTGTCTTCTGAAGGAGGAATGACAGATTTTTCGGCCCCCAAACGAATGGGAGTAGCCATGTCGCCAATTACAAGTAAGAAGACAATTAGATACCCTGGAATGATTGTCGAAAGTCGGGATATGTACGGGTACAACCATCACCTATCCGACCCTCAATCTTTAATCTGACCTTTTATCTGAATGTGTAATGAAAATACGGTTATCCAGTATGAAAACTCTGTTATCAGTGCTGCACCAGAGATGGCGTGATTAGGCTGAGCAGTCTGAGCGGTTATTCGCTCTATATGCCACAGGACAGTTCGCTTACCGGTGTGTTCTGGCACTGTGCATTGATTATCTCGGGTTACACAACCTTCATTAGTGCTTACAGCGAAATTTCAGCCCCGAAGGACAATCTTGCAGCAAGGCTGCCCAGCTGGAGGATCCCATGAAGTTCCAGCCGGACGCCCGAAAGTCGTTTAGCCGACGTGGCTTGCATCAGGGCTGTAGCAGTAGCTGCCAGCATGCCGGATATTCTAGCAACAAACATGCATAATCCCTCCTCTCACAGTGCGCCTTGGAAATGGCCTCCGAGGATAGAAGCTGGGTGACGGAATTGGGAAGGAGGAAAGTAGTCGAATAACGCAAAGACGGTGGCCAGGAAGGACAAGTTAGGAAACACAAATCCTCACTCAAATTGCAAGAACGCTCTCTTGTTGTTTCTGATTAGGCGTAAGATGTGCGATGCACTGCGGGAGAAAAGAGCAGCGAAAGCATCTTTTCTTGGCTAAAGTTTGCGGCTGAGCAAGCGTGCCGTCTCAAACGGCCGATAGTAATGTGAAACCATTGGGTAAAGCTCGACCATGATTCCTGCAGTCCCCGATCGCTGCGAAGAAAGGCTCAAAATTGTTCTCAGAATAGATGGATGAACCGATGGTGTAATTTTCGGATAATTTGAAATAACATTGTGTAGTTACCTAACGAGCCTCATAGACGTTCTTGCATATCACTAGATGATGCGACAGTTCTGCAGATAGAGCGTGCGAGGCGGGCCTTTTGCCCGCGTACCTACTAACGTAGTGCCTTCATCCTTTGCTTGAGCAGCTGATCTTCAACTTCTCCTTCCTCGGCCTCTTCTTCATCTTTCACCAGGCCATTTACGTCGGGAACCCCAATGGACAATCCAAGCCTTTTCGCGACGACGCTCAGACGAGACCTGACTCTGGACCAGTTCTCGTCGCTCTCCTGAAACTTGCAAATCGAGGTGTGGGTCGCGTCTAATTTCACACGTCGCTCATCTTTCCAACCCATCGTCGCGGACGCTTCAGGTACAACCTACAATTCAATGAGCGATGAACAAACGTCCTATGGACATGTGAGACTCACAATCGTGCCGTGAAGACTGCGCGACTCGTAGAATGTCGTTATTGCGATGTTTTCTTGATTTTCGCTGAAGACTGTTGTGAGCTCCGTGAGCGGATTGGACCAGCGTTCGAGCTCAGCTATCACTTCTGTGTTCTTCACACCAACAGCGCGACCTATCTTGGACAGATATCTTGCCCAGGTAGCCGCATCAGCTCCCTGGTGGGGAGTACCGAAAAACAGAATAGCCTTCGTAGAATCGAGGATATCATTGAACTGGAATGAGTTCTCGCGTGCACGTCGGAGAGCCTACACAATTAAGCTGACGGACCACAAGCCCTCATGGCTCCGGACGTACAGCTTTGATCACTATGCCCCCCAACGAGTGGCCTAAGAAGATGATCGGGCGTCCCTTGGCCTCGGCATCATAGTCAGCAGCCGTGGTGGCATCGTTTAGCAGTGCGCAAATTCATACATCATCCAGCTCACGCTCATCGGATAGATCGCTCAGGAGGGCTTCGGCAAACGTGAAGGTTCTACCAGTGGTGGTCTTGGAGAATGGTTTCGTAAACGCAGTGGCATCATAACCAAATGTCATGATACGCGACTTCTTGTAGTCAGGGCTCTGGGGCAACAGATCACTGAGCCACATGACATCGCCGTCCGTCCACGTTGAGATTGAGTCTCCTCCGAGACCGTGAACCGCAACAATACTACACCCGGATCAGAAACTATGGTCACCCTCACTGTGCGTGAAACTTACTCGAGTGCAGGCTTTATGCCCTTGTTCGGACGGTAGAGAGTGTGCAGTCCCAACGTGGATACCTAGAATTCAATGAGCAATCGCTTGGTAAGAACAAACGAGCAGGTACGCACTGGGATGTCTTCCATATCGCCAATGTAATGTTACAATATCCAGTGCTGCAGGAAATCTGGAGTGTTCAAGTTGCGAAAAGACTGAAGTCAGGCCGCGCGTTGATTAAAAACCGCATGAAACTGCAGCTGCACTAGGATCTGTGCTGGTGCAAAGCAACGCACACATACAAGAACTAAATGAATCAAAGCTATAGTTTGTGGTGTTAGAAATCATTGGCCTCCCGACTGCCGTTGTGTGACGCTGCGTGCACGGACGCTGCGCGGATTGATGCGGAACGGAAGACTCTTCCCAGGCCACAGCCATTGCAGCTCCCAAAGCCTAGACCCGACGTGCAGCTTCATCAGTCAATAAGCAAGGTTTGTACTGTAAGGTGATGCATCAGCGCGTGCACAAGCTGACATGCGTGCTTTCAGCTCGGCTGACACGAGCTAAGGCCGCCTCAATCAGGCGCGTATTGGTGGTTCGCTGCCCGAACCTTCGCTACGGATGGACAACCGCTGCTGAGAGGGCGGGAGTCGTTATGCTGGAGCGCCCGCGCATATTGAATATTATGCAGCTACATTCCAGCATGTGCAGTGTCAATGCTGACCTTCGCGTTTTCGGTCATCGCCGATCCCGTCTGCGGGATCGAAACACCAACCAACGACTAATGCTCGATAGGCAGCTTTGAGCCTGTCTGCTCCAATACACTGCAAGCCTGCTATCACTGAACGGAGGTTGATGACGCGACTCCCTTCATCCGCTTCTCTCCAGAGTACGAAGTCGGCGGCGTTGTTACAATCGGATACTAAGCTCACTACTGCCGAAAGTATTCGATTTTAACGAGTAGCCCTATTGCACATCGTCTGGAAATGCAACTCCATACCGGACAGTATGACTACAACCAATGCAGACGTAATATCTGATGAGGCGAACCCGGTAGGGCTTTATCGAATCTGGCCACCGGGTCAGTCCTCCAAGACCCAATTCAAGTACGCGATCCTAGCTTGTTTGCTTTTAGAAGCTTCGGCTTGTACGCCTGCTAATGCAATTTCTAGCCTTGTACTTGTTCATGGACACACTGGGAACGCTTTCAGCACTTGGACACATGAGAATGGGAAATCATGGCCGCAAACGTTCCTTCCCTTCGATAAGAACATGGACAACATCGTTGTATGGACTTGGGGCTACCGTGCGAGGGACGAACTGCCACGCAATGGTGAAATCATCGCCCCTAGTACAATTTTCAGTCAGGGGGAAGAGCTTTGTGGCATCCTCCATGATCGTCAAATACATGTTAGTCTTCTGATCGCTTTGCGTCTACCCCCCTCGTAACGTGCTAATAGTTCTTCCAGAATCATCCTATAACTTTCTTGGGGCACGGTATCGGTGGTATCATCATCAAGAGTGTAATTATTCATTCTGTGTGACTGCGGTGTCAATGTGTAACAGATTGTAGGCTTTGAATTACTCTAAGGTGACTTCCAGTATGTCCGAGATTCTGCGCAGTACACGGCACGTTGTATTCTTGGATACCCCACACGTGGGAGTTGGCCTCGAGGCGCTCAAGAGGCTGAACGGGGGACATCTGAGCGACCATGTGACATCTCAATTTGGCCTCTGGTCGCAAAAGCTTGAAGAGCAAGCTAAGCGTTTTGCTAACATCGCTGAGAATTTCAATATATCGTCAGCGTGTGCTACCGTACTGGACAGTGAGGGTGCTATGGAAAAGCTGGTATGTCGAATCAGACTGACATCCCCACACACACTAAGCTATAGCAGGTAGCTCCAGGTCACTCCGCTCATACTTTGGTACCTCACGAAAGGATCTTCTACATGGATCGAGCTCGCCACGAAGACATATGCAAATTTCCCAACAAGGACCATGTGAACTACAGACGCCTCCGGGATAGGATCATGCGGGGCCTTGCCGTTATCAGGCGAAACGATAAACGGATTGGGGCTCTTCGCGACTGGCTCGGCACCATAGATAGCAGCAATCTCGAGAAGCATAAGGAGGCCTGCGAGATCATGGATAAACATCGAGGGACCTGCGATTGGCTGTTCAACGATGCTGCATTCCAAGCATGGACTGCAGAATCGAAATCACACGCATGTCTCTGGCTCACTGGGCCGTCCGGGGTGGGAAAGACGTTCCTGAGTTCTGCAGCCATCAAACATATCCAGGAGCTGCCTGATCAACCTGGTACTGCCTTCGATTTCGTCGAGTTCGATGTCGCTTTTCAAAAGCCGGAGATCCTTCAACGATTAGCATCGCGACTGCTGGACAGAGTGATTGATCGTGACGCTCTGACCGAAGCAGCTCTTGATTTCAGAAACAGAGCTAAGAACGCAGAGGAGATGAAGAGTCTAGTTGTGGAGCTACTTCATGCAGCAGCGTCAGTCGGACGAATCTTTGTCTTCATCGATGGCATCAACGAAGTCGCCGGAAAGACACATTACGAAAAGGAATACCGCAACCAAATGGACAGGGAGGAAAAGGCTGCGGAGGACGTCATCAAGTTACTGATGGAATGTGGTCAGAATGAACCAAATGTCCGGCTCTGGTTCAGTAGTCAGCCAGACGACAGAAGCAAAGGATGGCTACATCAAGATATCGCGTCTCCAAATGGCACAATCAGTGGTTTATCTGTCAAGGAGCTGGCCATCCCTGCAGCAGAGTCTCGCGTTAGTGTGAGTATATTCCTGAAGGCTGCAGTCGAAACTCTGATCGGCAAAAAATATGTGGGAGAGAATGCGCCCCTCGTTTCAGCTATCGGTAGATTGCGCATACGAGCTAAGGCTGGAGATAGCTTCCGATGGGCGAAAATGATGGCAGACGCTTTCAAGGACTGCCCGAACATCGATGAAATCGAGGCGATGCTGGAACAAGACCTATCAAATGACCTTTCGCAGCTTTACCACAAGTCGCTCCTGCGGCTACAAAACATGGACGTGATTGATCAGGGAAAACGCCCATGTACAGGCTACTCTCGGTACGTTTAATCCCAGAGACTAGTTTGATCTGATACTTACCATTACACAGAGCCATACTATCGGTTCTCACATTCGCCAGGCGACCACTCAGTTTTACCGAGCTTCAAGAGGCCATCACATCTTTCTGCTTGCAGGAACGTCGCGCCCCAGCAGGATTTGCGGATATATCGCGTACATCGTTGATAGGCCTTCCGCATCTTAGAAATCGCTGTGTTCCATTCGTACGCTACTACTCGAAAGGCGATAATGACACGGGTGGTGTCTTCCGTCTGGCACACCAAACGGTGGAGTCGTTCCTACTGAGTGTGTCAAACCATCCGAGAGTTGGCACATATACAACAACGAATCACTCGAGTCGGCTGCCAATGGTGGATGCGACGTTCCTTGCGAAAGCCTGTCTGAATTATCTCTTTCAGGATCGATACAACTAACTATTAAGCTTCAGCTCTATACAATTAAATACGTTAAATTTGTTACAAAATATAATTTATTGCTTAATTCTAGTTTCTATACTAAGTAATATTACCTTCTATATGCTAGTTCCTACTGTCTTAAGACAGCCTAAGCAGCTTAAACTCTATACTATATTAGAACTTACAGACTATAAAGTATAAAGATAATATTAGTTTTTGTATATTATTTATTATTGCTATAGAAGCTAATTTAGTCTATAAAGGTAGTCTCTACTAGAGTAGGTACGTAAGCGTATTGTTAAAGGCAAAGAAGTAGGTCTTATATAGCTAATCTCTTAGCTAAAAAAAAAGCTCTAGCTGCTAGAGTTATTTCTATATAAGTAAGCAGTATATCTAATAGATAAGTATTGCACATACCTATTTAAGTGCTTAAGAAGAGTAAGTATAACCTTATATTTTGTATTCTTTAAGCTAAAAGTAATAGACAAGATTACTAATAGACACTAAGTATTCTTATAATAAGCTTACTAGTAAGACGCAAGGTTATAGAGTAGGCTAAGTAAGCGTAGATGTTAAGGTAGATAATTATAAGAATAATTACTATTGTAAAGAAAAAGAGTGTAAGTAGCATAATTATATATATGTTGTAGAAGTAATAAAGACACTATAGTGTAGTTACTTTATATACTCTCTTTTTTAACTTATTACTATGTGCGTAGAATTTAAAGCCTATAGTTTAGTATTACTATTCTATAGTACTACAATAACCTAGAGGCAACCTAGAGACAATAAGCTAACTATACCTCTTGTATTTTATACAACTTATACGCAAGGAGATACTCTACAAAGAGAGAAGTATTGCATCTCTAAGAACCTCAACCAACTATTGATCAAAAAGAACGCCCTCGAGTTCCGGTGCGGCCGTGACAACGTTCACGATCACGAATTCATACAGTATGCCGCAAAATACTGGTATCGACATATAGACGACCCTGAGCCAGATACGCAGTTCTCAGCCCTCGTCGAGCGCTTTGTGCGATCTCCCCACTTTGTTACGACTATACAGGTGCAGAGCCTGTTTGTTCCTGGGCATTTCATTCAGGACTTGGATTGCGATGACCCTGAAAAGAGGACCATCAAGAAGAACCTTCCTGACTTACTGGAATCGGGCGCTGATAGGAAACTGTGGAGAGACTACCATGAGTTCCTGGCAGAATGGGGCATATTCTTACAGAGGGGTGTGACCGAAAACGTCAACGGCGAGATGAGCCGCTGTCTCTGGAGCACGCTAAGCACGGCGAACTACTTCCGTCGTCACAAGCATCTGCAGCGGTTCCAAATGGCGCTCATACTCGAAGATGGGTCAGGACCAAGCGAAACCGCAGATAGGGCTTTGTACGATGTGAGCTTCACAGATGAGCTGAACGTCACTGTGTGGGGAATACAAGGATCTGGGTAAGTGTGCAGGAATTCGTGCGATTTATCGAACTGACTCTCTCAAAGTACGTCTGAGGATGACTTGAGATTGATTGAGAACACCTGGACACTCGGCAAATGCCAGCCGAGGGCCGTCTCGCATCGGACGTTCCTGTTTTCCAAAGCTGAAACTAACTGGGAATTGTATGACCCAGGAGCTACCAGAGCCATTCAGTTGATACCAACGTTGCGTCAAGCAGAAAGAGTACCACCAGTTGCCTTTACGTCATCTCGCACACGTATTCGTGTTGGGTGCGCCGAGTTTGCAGTCAAAGGCGACAGCCAATGGTTGAAGGAGAAAGACAAAGCGGAAAGTTATGGCTGTCCATACTGGGAAAACATACAGGTCTTTGGAAATTTGCGTGTGAAGAGTCGCAGAAGACTGGTCGAGGCTGAGCCGCGATTTCGCAAAGTTCCCAATCGCCGCCGCCAGTCTTGGTCCACTTCTGACGATACATCTGCTACGGATGGATTCGAGTCTGAAGATACATCGCAATTTTCTTTCGATGCCGAGTCCCCGATACATTCCTGTAGTTCGCCGTCTACGTATTCGTCGGGGAGTTCAGCGAATATCTCTGAAGCGGAGGCTGAAGCTGAAGCGAACCAACGGGGTGACGATAGTACCGGAGAAAGGTCCGAAGCTTCGGTACGAGCTTCCAGCCCACCAGAAGCCGAGAGCGGATCCGACACTGACTTGGAGGTCTCACCATCCACCTCCTACCCAAGACGTACGGGAGCTGAGTTTACTTCGAATCACGCGATCAGTTCAGAGTCATCCGAATCTGAAGGTAATCATTCAGAGCCTCAGCGTGGGCAGGTCACCAAAAAGCAAAACACCCCTTCTCACCGTATCTGTGATGCATGTCAGGCTCAGCCGTTGAGCTATTTCTACGAATGCGTCATCTGTGTGCGCGATAATTCCTACGATCTCTGCCACGCATGCCTGGAGAAAGGCCGGTGGTGCAAAGATCGATATCATCAACTCTACCGGACACGACTAGATAGTCGAGGTAAACTACGTCGTCTTGGCGGCCTTTGTTTGGTTGATTGCCGGCCAAACACATGCCTTCTGATCGAACGACTCGACTGCGATAAGCCTGTGGTATTCAGGTTCCAGGATCTCAAATCAAGAAGAAGGGCCTTGTACAATTCCCATCCGCGCATCCATTCCTCCAAAGGGCTGTTGACCTGGCCTCTCGGCTCAGGAGATATGCTGTTCGTGAATATCGAGGAGAACAAGTACTTCATCCGGCCTACCCATAGTGGGGTAAAGAATCACTGGTGGTGTAAGCCGATCTTGATACAGACATGTCTCTAGCGGGCTAACGTATATACCAGATCGAGAGCTGATCGTGGACTCCTATTTCCCCGCATGTGGCAAGTTCTTATACACGCTCACTGTTTTCGCGTCTTCCATCACAGGCGAACACTGGACTCAACCAGACCTCGTCATCATTTTGTCTTCCTGGTCGCTTTCAGCGAAACGACCTTCGGCTCGCCCGCCGAAAGAACTCGTGGAAACCAAGGTGGAGCTAGGCAAGTGGCACCGGAACAAGTTGGCGGATCAACCGTTCAGCCTGACCTGGACAGAGGAGTACGTCTATTTGACCTGCAGTTCAGACAGACTCCTTGTGTATAGGCTGCCGCTTCGGAAGTCCCAAGTCTCTTCGAGTGGGCACACCGTTGATACATCGACGCAAGTGACCCAGCCCAGCGAAGAAGTTACGTTACCACGGACAGCACGTTGTCGTCGAATCCAATTCTTCCCAGGCACCAGTGTCGAAATGGATGGTGTCATCATTATTGGGCCTCGAGATGGAGATCAACCAGCTAATCCGATGGTTATTTGTCTGCCTTTAGGGAGCCTTGGTGCTTGGGAGACGGTAGTAAAGGCGGACGACTTGGATGTGTCGAAAGAGAGCTACCGCAAAGACGAAGTACACTTTGAGACATTCGACGACGAGGAAGATTGTGACTTAATTCCGTTCGATCCGAAGTTTACAGTGTAGTTAGATAAGAGCTTAGTTCTACAATTCTATTCTTAATACTAGACTACTTACACTATCTTTATTAATATAAGTAAATAGATATATCTTTAGTTAAGAGTATAAGATAGAATTTAAATCTATTAATACTTTATTAGTAAACTAATTATCTAATATTATAAGCTAGTCTAAGAAAAGTAAGATCTATTACTAATATATAAAAAAGATATTTTATAAAAAGTTTAAGTTTTATATTTAAAAGTATAAGTATTAAATAGACTAAAACTTAAGGTTTTAGTACTACTACTTTTTATATAGTTAAAGTATTAAAAGTTTAAAATAGTAAAGTAACTATTTTATAAATACTAATCTTTACTTATAGTAAAGAAACTTATTATATAAATATTTATTTTTAATAGCTTATAACTAATTAAGTAATATATTATAGAGTAATTAACTACTAAAATATTTTATAAGTAAAATTCTACTTCTATATATATACTTTCTTTTCTTTATTTTTATTTCTATTTTTATTCTTATTTTATAACTTATAGTAAATTAAAAATTAAAAACTTACTTAAGATATAAAATAGTAGCTTAAATCTAATACTAAAATAGATAATCTTTTTACTATATCTCTATAACCTCTTTTATAAGTTATTCTAGTATTAGTAAGTTTACTTAAAGCTAATCTTATTACTAGTTATATTACTTTTCTTAATATATATATATTAATTATATATCTATACTATATTATATTAATTATTAACTCTCTTAGGTCTAAGAGATAGAGCCTACAGCGTACTTTTTTTAAAATTAAATAATTATATAATTATATAATTATGTAATAATATATTACTATATTAGACTCTAAAAGTAAACTTAAAAAATCTCTAACGTAAGCCTAGATTTATAACTTATAATACTTAAATCTATACTACCTCTACTACTAATATAATAGTTAATATATATAATTATAATAGGCTAACTACTTTATATTTATTATATATTACTAATAGCTATCTAGACTATTAACTAGTAGTACTAATACTAGCCTTATATAACTACGTATCTTTAAAAGATAACTTAGTAAGTCTACTACTAGTATAAAGCCTAACTTAACTTAAGATACTTATATAATACGCACATAATATCTATATAATTACTAGTAACTTATACTTTATACGTAATTACTTATAAGCTAGCTATATTAGTAGCTATATTACGCTATTCTTTAGTATACTAACTATTTATTTTATCTATTATTACGCGTCTATTAGTATAGCTTAATACTATACTATATATATACTACTTTTTATAGCTAGTAAAGCGCTACCTCTTTTTAGCTAAGAAAAATAGTACTTTTTATTAGCTTAATAAAGTTAAGCTTATTTTAAGTTACTAGTATATTTACTAACTTAGCTAGCTTCTTATTTAATATACTAAGTTAGTTAAACTATTTCTTTATAATTACTAGAATATTAGAAGAAAAGTTTATTTAGAAAAAATAGTATATACCTATAATATATAAAGCTATAAAGTATCTTTTATTACTAGTAATTATTTTTATCTACTTTATACTATTCTAATAAAAGCTCTTTTTTAGCTTTATTTTTATAGCTATATTTTATAAGTTTTTTATTAAAAACTTACTAAAATAAACTAGAAAGTTAGGTACGCTACGCGTATAACTAGTAAAGACTACTAGCGTAGTATATTCTATAACGCTAAATATTATTATTATTATTATTATTATAAGAACTAAAGCCTCTATTATAAGTATAAAAGAGAAGTTTAGTATAAAAGATTCTTTATATTTAGTAGATATATTAGTAAATTTTTTAGATATATATAAAAGTATTAAGAAAAATATAAAATAAAGAGAAGTATTCTCTATATATAAAGCTTTATATAATTCTCTTCTAGGCTACTATTCTCTATACTATAGTTTACTTACGTAAATATCTTTTTATATTTTATAGTAGTATAGTACTATAATTTAATATTACTCTAGACCTAAAGTTTACCTACACTTAGAAAGCTTCTATATTAACTTTTAAGAATATTTTAACATTTCTATAGCTTTATAGCTTATCTATTACTACTTCTAAGTCTACCTTTAAGTATACTAAAGAAGCCTCTATTACTATTACTCTCTATAAGTATATTATTATTATTATTATTATTAAAGCGCTATATCTATAGTAAATATTATAGAAAAAGTTTTATTAATTATTATAGCTATATATAGTAAGTATAAGGTATTTAGAAAATATACCTATCTTAAGATTACTATATAGAGTTACTAACTATGTTTTATTACTCTACTCTATATTAATACTTTACTATAATATTAATTATTAAAGCTTCTATAAACTATATTAAAACTAGTATTAGAAAGAAAGCTCTTAGTTAGACTATCTTAGTAATTATAATATATACTATTATTAAAGTAACTATACAGACTATTATAAAAGCTTTTAAAACTTATATTATATATTTTAAATTATATTAGAAGACTACTAATACTATTAGTACTTTTAGAATTATTATAGTACTACTATAAAAGCTTTATATAAGTAGACTAAAACTATTAATAAACTTTTTATATATCTAAGCTTTTAAGTAATATAATAGTAATAAAAGAAAGTTTTTAATAAGCTATATCTAGTATAAAAAAAGAAATAGAAGAGTTAGTTTATTAGTAGTATTATATTTTTATCTATAGAACTTAATTAATTATTTTTACTATCTATACTTATAATTTTTTATATAATATTAAACTATAGATAGCTTTACTTATTATAGAGAAGTAATATAGTTAAGTTTAATAAGTAAGATTCTACATATAGATCTATATATAGAAGTAAGTAAATATTTAATATTTCTTACTTAATTAGCGCTAGACCTAATTAGGTAGAGATTATAAGTTTAATCTACTACACTACTCCCCTCTTAAAAAGAGAGTAAGTTCTAATACTTATAATATTCTTTTTAC